TAGTGTGTATGCTAATGTATACTTAATGAATGTCCAGGTTTTTTAAGATTATTAGAGCAGAATAACTAGAGTAAAAAGCTTCTGGCTTAGGATCGCTTTCAGAACATAGTGAGATCATGACTAGGATCTGTAGTCTTTTACCCATATCTTTGAAGGAATAGTTTGGATATCTTACAAAATATCTTTAGGTAACAAGTAGAGCATAGTTTATATTTATTTATCAGTTTATTTATTTATCTCATGAAAAGTGATTCTGAGTGGTGTACAATGACATACCGTATTAGATATTAAACTGACAAGAACAGATACTACCCTTGATCTTGACCAAAAGGCCAAGAAGAGATTATTATTTATTAACACTTTATATTGGCCACACGCCAATACACAAAACTAACAAGTAGAATAAAATTCTGTTTGTTAGGGGGAAATATTCAGTTCTTCATCAATCTCCTGGCTCAGTATAATGGACTGGCTATTTCTAAAACATAAATACCCATGATTAAACAACTGCAGATTATGACTTAACCTCATTTTCTAGATTTGCACATTCTAGTTCAAACTGTGATTGGTTAATTGGTATGTTGTTTGAGCACAATCAAATTGCCAACATTTACCAATTTCAAGAAAGCCAAATTTTGAAGATGGCAGAAATAGCCTATTTTGCACAAGCAGGTGCCTCCAACATGCTATGGTAATTTGCATATGTAAAAATGGCAGTGTCCATCCCATAACCTAACATTCATTGATAAGCAAATTAAATAAGTTCTCTATCCAATTATCAGAAAAAGGTCCAAGCAGAGCTCTAAAATATTAACATTAACTAATATACATGAAACTCAATTTTCTACATCTCAACTCTTAGCTCTAAGCAAAACCCTATTTAAAAGGCATACAAAAGTGCCAATATCTTAGTGTAAACAAACAAAATCTAAAGTTTAATATGACAAAACCAGATTGTTTCTCCTTTTAAAAGTCAAAGTGTAATATACAATCTTTCTCCTATTTCAAATGCCAACAATTCCAGAGAGAACTACCTCAAATAGCAGTTTTAATTATAAATTAATTTAATATTAAAGATATTAAGACAGTCAATATGTTTAGCACTCTGTAATCAAATAGTGAGGAATCAAGCAATATATCTGAGCTTAAATTGCTCAAATAGACTGAAGGAGAAAATGTAGTTTTCTGACTAAGTGAGATCAACTCAGCAGATTTGGAGATGAAAGGGAATTTATTACATTTCAGTATTTCCTCACACTGTTACCTTATTTAAAGGTTCATAGAAATTTCCAGGAGCTAGTGGACTTGTTTATAATACATTTTTTCATATATTACTAATTTTGTAGTAATTGGATCACCTTCTGAGATTAATAAATATAATTATACAATTGGCAATATGATTGTTTTCTATGTGTATGTGTGTGTGTATGTATATGTGTATATGTGTGTGTGTATAATGTATGTAGGTATGTATGTATACACACACACACGCACACACACACACACACACACACACACACACACTATAATCATCAAGCTTTTTCAAAAGTTTGCCAGCTCTGAATGTTAGTTATTGGTAGAAATTGTCACCTGAACTTTCAAGGACAGATTTTCAGATTGCTTTATGGTTTAATTTGCTTCTCTTTGAATCTTCCTTGTCCTGGCAAGTGCCAGGAATGATATTGCTCAGTTATGAGCAAGAGTTATTTGTATGGTTGTCAGTTCAAAGGGATCCCACAAGGCAGCCTGGATCACTGCTGGTTTAGCTTTTGATATCTCAATCCCCAAGGCTAGAGGCTGGTCTTCCTGAAAAACAAGTTGGAAAGGGAAAGGGGGCGGTTGAGATGGGTGGTCCAACCAACCAAATGTCCATCGTCTCTGATTTCCTTCTTTCCCTCCCTTTTCTTCAACTTTAAAGAAACATCCATATTTTGGGTCCCTTTGGCTGATTCCCATTGTTTTGTTTTGTTTTCTCCTCTGGTAAACCTTTGCTTCCCATCACCAGGGGGCTTTCAGATGGACAGCTCCTCAAATATTGATCCAAACGCAGTACTTGTTTTTTTTTTCTCCTGAAAGCTTTTCCGCAGAAAACTAATTCAGCAAGTCAAACCCTCTCAGAACATTTCTGTCAAGCCAATGTTTTGTTTAAATTCAAAATGTATGTCCCACCTTTATAATACGCATGCTTAACCTTAACCACATCTGATAGGGAGAGGCCCCACCATTCATGGCAAGACAAGGTTTATTTTAACAAAACATGGCTGCCATGCCAGGCATGTGATTTAAATTGCTTTTTACTCCTACATTGTTTACCACTCCTACTTATACCTCAAATATCTAAATACAGTGATTCAGCCAGTCAAGTAGCATTTATGCACCTTAATACTTGGGTTAGTAGTGCAACAACATGTGGCAGTTTAATGTATTCCTGTTTATTCAGGCTTTTTTAGGACAAGCTATTCCTTTGGATTCTTACTTCTGAGCTCTTTGGAAAGTGGTTAGATTTCCCCAACAGTACATATTCTTAATGAGATTTGGGGCAGGGTGCTTTTCCAAGTTTTAGTGTCCAGATAAGCTAGGTGATATCTTTCTGCTCAAATGTGTACTGTTTCGTCCATAAAAGCATCTGAAATGGTAAAAGAAACTGATTTGGTGATCTAACTTCAACTCAGTAATGTTATGCCTATGTGGCTGTGTATGCATAACAACATCTTTTTTTCCCCGTTCAATTGTATATGATTCTCAGATACTGCCTGGACAAGTGTCTGCAGTTTTCTTTGCAAGATTTTTCAGAAGTGGTTTAGTGACTTTTTCGGTGCGAACTGCAGCCGCACTGAAAAAAGCATGCAGCAGCTGCAAGCATCTCGCAACAACGGGGGGGGGGGGGTGAGAAGCCCCGGGACATCTGCCCACCCATCTGCTGGCTGGCCTGCAGTGCACATGTGCAGCAGCCCCAGGACATCCGCCCGAGCTGTGCCACGGCTGCCACATGGTAGGGAAAGCTAGGACAGCGACCACAACAAGGGAGCAACCGGGTGACTGGGTCGGGGGCATGGCCAGCCAGGGGTCGCCACCAGATCAGCGACCCACACAACGGCTACCAGTTCGCCTGAGCCGGTGAGACCCGGTTGAATACCACCTCTGCTATGTACAATGAAACATTAAGTAATTACAAAAATGAAATATGAGTAAAACAAACTTAAGCACATGTAAAATAATAATAAAAAACCAGATTCATTATTAAATCAATTTCATTGTTAAAAACATTTAGAGTAGTGCCAGCCATTTAGCTAGGGTGGATCTCACTTTCAATTAAAACATTTAAAAGGACAATGGTTTGTTAAGAGTTGGGAAATGGGAGGAAGGGGAGCTTGTGCCCCTACGTACACTTCCTTCATTATTGTTTGAAATGGTATAATATTTGTCAAATGAACATTCTGCCTCAGCCCCAGATATGTCTCAGGAAAAAATACCCATCTGAATTCACATACAGGTTGCAGGAGGCCTTTACTCTGGAAACTTTGGAAAATGCTGTTGCTATGGCCTCTGAAAAGAATGGTATAGTATGCCCCTGTTCTGGATTTTCAGCAAACAATGCTTAGCTGTTAGTTTACAACTTCCTAAGTTGTATGAAGACAGCCTATAAGATCACACTGCAATTTACATCATGCCATGATTAATTCTGCCCTAGCATGGGGATGAAATAAAGCAAATCCTATTTTATAAAAGTATTTACAGGTAGTCCTCAACTTATGAGCGCAATTAAGCCCACATTTCTGCTATTAAGTGAAACTGAATTTTACATATTTTTTTTGCCACAGTTGTTACATTAGTGTCATGGTTGTTAAGTAAATCTGACTTCTCCATTGACTTTGCTTGTAAGAAAGTAGCAAAAAGTGATCACATGACCCTGGGACAGTTGCTGAGCCTCTGAATTTTGATCACATGACCATGGGGATGCAGCATTGGTCATTAAGTGTGAAAAATGGTTATAAGTCACCTTTTTCAATGCCATTGTAACTTTATACGGCCACTAAATGAACTGTTTTAAGTCAAGACTGACCTGTATTTTGTTTATTTGCAAAACAAAATTTAACATTACCTCAGACATGACTAAAATTCTACTCTAAACAACAATCAGACCAAGAGACCAGCATAGTCCATAGCAGAAGGCTGAAATCTACCTCCTCCCCATCATTGCTTAAGATAGCTTCAATATGTGACATTGCAAAGGTAATATTTTATTTATTTTTACCCTGCCTTTATTTTTTTTACAAAAATTCAAGGTGGGGTACACACTTTCCTCCCCCTGTTCCCCCCCCCCGCCCCCAACAAGCTGAGTTGGGTGGGGCTGAGTGACTGGCCAAGCCATTCAGCTGGCTTTCATAGCTAAGGCAGGATTTGAACTCAGGGTTTCCAGCCTCCTGCCTTAACCACCCCACCAAACTGACCCTTCCTATTTTTTTCCCCAATATTCTTCACATTTTTGCCTTATTTTTCATGGCTGTTAGCACACATGCACTTAAGAATTGCTAACAGAGCCACCCTTATCCCATTTTTCTAGATTTACACGACTTCTCCGAGCCCACCAGCTACTAGCTCTAGGTTTTAAAATTCTGTCATCTACGGGTGAAAGGAGACCAGAGTATTTCAGACCAGAGTTGATGTCCCTACTACTACTTTGAATTAATACAACACAGATTAGGCCACAATGTGACTGGCTAGTTTGCGATCATCTTTCAGAAGCACCGACAGAAAAACATGTTGACTTCTTGTCGGTAAAAGGAAGGACCGCAAGAAAGAGGGCCCCATCCACCTCCCAACACCGCGAGTGAGAAATTCGGAGCAGGGAGCAGCAGCTTAATCCGCAGATAACCGCGCGCCCGGGGCGGCGCTCGCTCCCCCTCCTCTTTCAAAAGTAAGGGGGGAAAGGCATCATCCCGGAGTCCCCACCCCTCAGCTCCGCTGCCCCTCCTCTTCGTCCTCCAGCCAGAGCGCTTGCGAGAGAGAAGGAGAAAGCGGACAGCGAGCGCCTTCCGAGAGTTTTGCGGAGGAGCCGTGCGGAGGGAAGCTGTGGGTGGGAGCGGGCTGCAGGAAGAAGCGACGTGGAATCCGGCGCTCTCCTTGTCTGCTTAACTCCTTCCCTACTTCGCACGGTAAGAAGCAGCGCCCAGAGCTTTAGCTGTGGCGGGGCCTTCTTTCGTCTTGCTCGTAGTGGGAGAGTCGAAAAAGCCCTAACAAAAAATAGCTGAAGCGGGGAAGGAAGAGGAGCTGGGGGACTTGGGGCTGGGGGCTGGCTCTTCTCACTCATATCGGGGACGCAGGCCGAGTCTCGGAACGGCGCTCGCGCTGTCCTTTGGAAAGGCTCTGAAATCAACGATTCTTCCCAGCAAACGAGTTGCCGGCCCGCCCGAATGCCTTCTTTTCTCTGGAGGACGTGCGGGTGTTGCTTTCGCCTCTGCCGAGCAGGTTCTCTTTGACCCAGTTGGAAAGAACGGGGCTTGCAAAAGGAGGGGGGGCGTGTATCTGCCGAGGTTGGAAAGGGTTAGAGAGGCACCCAAGCAAAGATCTTGGCCTGCTTTAGCCTGCTGGGTCCTTCCCGTGAAGAAAGCATGTCAGATTCGCTACGAGGAGGCGGTTCTTTAGCCTGAAACCTTCGCTCCGTCCTTCGGGAATAATTATAATTTTTTTTTTTTAAAAAAATGGCTTTGCCGGCCATCTGCCAAAATGAGGCTTCGCCGGGAGGGCTGCCCCTGGCCATTCAGCTTGTCAGTGCAGCCCGAGGAGGCGGGGGCACTCGATCGATCTTCAGCCGTGGCTAGGGGAAGAAGTGAGTGGAAAGCTTTGGCCAAAGGACGGTTGAAAGCAGTCTCCTTTTCGTTGTCTCTTTTGCTGGACGCCTTGGTTCCTTTGCAGAGATGCTGCTGTGGTGACAGTTGACAGCCTCTTCTCACCCAAGCGGGGTAAGCCGGAGGAGGAATGAACTGGGAAATCCCGCGGAGTCGGCGGTAGAATTCCTCCCCTTCGCAGCCTTTGCTTCAAAAGTGCTTAGGAGTTGTTCGTTTTTTCATCCAATAATTCATTCAAAATTTGTAGGAAAACAAAATAGCACCGTGAATTGCTGAGGTTTGTAGACAGTACACGTTGTAAAATATATTAATTGTGCCCTTTCCAAATTATGGGTAGTAAAATTGATTTAGGGAGAGTGCACTTTCCTAATTATCCAAGTCTATTGTTGCAGATTCCTTGCCAAAAGCGTTGTGTGTTTGTACAATGCTTCTGCCCGTACTGAGCTGCTATACAGTTTATTGTGTTTTCATGGGATACTGAACCTTACCTTAATTGCACAGCAAAACACACTAGGATCAAGATGACTGTGTTAGTGAAATTTAAGAAGATAATTCTAGTATATTTTTTAAGTATTGTTCCATATTTTAATACCCCCTTTTCTGCAATCTTACAAAAGTCCCTGACACAGCAGGCAGGATCATTTATTGATTTCACACAAGGTGTTTAAAGCTGCATCTGTTTAAACAATCCTATGCTTAGTAAGAGAATGACTTGCTTCAGTCTCACTTGTGTATGTTTCTAGAGGAAGGCTGGGCAGGAGCAGGTCACATAATATAGTTAATCAGAATGTAGCCATTTGTGATTTATTTAGTAAACATTGTTTAAAGAAACGGCTTAATGTAGTGTGTTGCTTGAGAGTCACAACACAGTCCTACACTTGTAAACTGTGTTTAGTCATGATTCTGATAATATGTAGTAAAGCAAGCGTTCCACAATGCATTATACTATAGTCAAGCAAATCACATTTTAGCCTCGTGCATTGTATGAATCCACAGGCCTGTGAAAGGGAGCAAATGATCGTGCTGTTGTATCATGCTGTTGTAAGACAAAGTCCACCCCTTTTGTACATTTGTTGTGATTCCACACATACAGAAGGGATGAAGTTTATGGTGCAACACTGCTTTTCCATTGTGGCAATACCCTTCAATCTTGTAGATGCTTCTGACTCAGCCTATGTAATAAGACTGTAGTTAAAATGTGTCTGCAGAAAAATAGATACTTTGAGCAATAATTGAATAAATCATGGTCAGTTAATTGTGGGTAAGGATTTTGTTCAAGTTCAGCTATTGTCTGAAACACTTTCGTTTAAAATGTTGTCAGTGTAGGATAAAAGCCAGGCAGTGGCTACTTTTATAAAGTAACTGGTTGTTGATACAGCTGTTTGATTTACACATGTGAGAGAAGCCAATTTACAACACAAAGTGATCTGAGAGTAAATCCTATGGAACACAAAGATACTTTTCCCCCCATCTGGCACTTAACTGTGTTGAAAGGGCCTCTTATGAAGGCACAAGAAGTTCAGAGATGTTTACTTTCAATTAAATAGGCTGAAAATTACAGACCCAGTGAATAATTTATTGCCATTAATTGGTGTTTATATGCACTTTTCTTTTTAAGATTTCTTATTTGCTGTTCTTTTGTTTTTATTGTTCCTAGCAATTTTTGTTTTTCGCTCTTTTCATATTTCTTTTTGATGGGGAGGAAACAGGCTACTCATTTTAAACACTAACAATGAATTTAGGGATAAAAAGGAAAGACAATTAACAGTGCTATGAAATGCCAGATCAGTGTATAGTTTCCAGGTTCTGAGCCTAGATCAAGATGCTTACTAGATTTCTATGAATGACGAACAGCCTACATAAAAACCAGCTGGGTAACTTTGGGCCAGTCGCACACTCTCACATCACAGAGATGTTGTGGGGAAATGTAGAGAAAGAAGTGTCAGGCTTGTTTGCTGCCTTGAGTCATATATGAAAATAATAAAAAGGGATAAAAACAAACAAAATCATGTAAAAAATAATGTTCAGCCCATCCCCTCGGGGTTCTCAGTGAAATGCAAGCAAAGACTTAAAAGTTGATCTTGCCAGAATTAATTTCAGTAAGCTCGAACTCACTTCATTTTGAATAAGTTGGATCTCAGCTTTCGTGATCTGGAAAAGATAACAGGCTTTGTACAGGTAATCCTCAACTTATGACCACAATTGAGGAAGAAATTAAGCAAGAAATTTGTTAAGTGCGTTTTGTCCCATTTTATGACCTTTCTTGCCACGTTCATTAAGTAGATCACTGCAGTTGTTAAATTAATAACATGGTTGTTAAGTGAATCTAGTTTCCTCATTGACTTTGCTGATCAGAAATTCACAAAACCCCGGGGATCACGTGACTCCAGGACACTGCAACTATCATAAATACAAGTCAGTTATCAAACATCTGACTGTCAATCACCTGACCATGGGGATGCTGCGAGCCACGGACTACCTGTAGTCTGTCCATATAGCTCTCCATTTCTGCCTACCTATTCTGGCTATTTTGAGGATTCATACACAGTGCTTATAGTACCTGCATCAGGGTTAGTAGAAATGGTAATGGCAATAGATTTAAAATGAATTTCTTCACCAGCCCTTTAAGATCTGCCTGGCTGACTCGGGCTTTTTGGCCACTGAACAGCCACTTTGGTAATCAAGTGACAAGAAAGAGTGGCAAGAACAGTCTAAGGCAGGAATCTCCAACCTGGGCCACTTTAAGCCTGGCGGACTTCAACTCCCAGAATTATTCTGGGAGTTGAAGTCTGCCAGGCTTAAAGTGGCCTAGGTTGGAGACCCCTAGTCTAAGGGGTCTCTGACAACTCATCACAGGCCAACTTGCCTTGGCCAACTCGCTATGGAACAATTTGCTGTGGAACAAGAATTACACTAATATCAAAGAAATATTCAAAAAGAATCATTAAAGAAAGGATGCCAAAGGAGGGACAAAACAAAATGTGAATGTTAGAAATTAAAATATTTTTTAAATTATTTTAAATAATTAAACTGAACTGTTGAATTGTCCCAGAGTGAGTTGGCCATGGAGAATTGGCTGTGGCGAATTGGCTGCTTTGACCCATTCTGCAATCTAAGTTGTGGTTCTGGTTGTTGTTGGTTTGTTTCTTTCTTGGACTGTGTAATCATTGTTGTAATTTTAACCATTTTAGTTGCGTTCATATAACGGCTAAGTTACAGAATAATCTACTGGGGACCTTATCCTCTCTAACAGCAAAGGACTGTTTTGGATGATATTTTGCGCTTTACACTAGACCTGGCAGCCCTGGGTGATTTTGTTGCTAACATGTGAGTACTTTTGTATCCTGTTGATTTCCATCAGACCTTAGAATCTGGAATGAACCCAGGCAATCAATATGATCATTGTTTAAAAAAAAAATCTTACTGATAAGAGCTGTATTATTTTCCTAGTGCTCCAAGGACTTTGGGGGCAATTAGTAAGGAGAATAACTGGAATGCAGTTAGAGAAAAATTGAACAGTTCTAAAAAACTCTAGCTAGAAACAATTGGGAAGCTTACGTGACAATGGACAGAATGGTAAAGTTGTAGTTCTTGGCAATGGGTGTGTTTGCGTTTAGTGGAATTTGTACTAAATATAAGGATCCTTTTTTATTTTGGCCTTCAGGCAGATTCAGTTATCCTTGGAAACCAATTGTAATAGCCTTGCAAGGCACGTTGCAGATAAAATTACCTTTGTTTGTCCTGGTATATTTGCAGTATGCTGCTAGAGCTTGGTTGGTCAATAGTTTGGAGGAAGAATTTCAGTGTCTGAAGCTGAAAATGTGCTGGTTAGACTCTTGGAAATAACTGGCTAGATCTTGACAGTAAGGAATTCTCTTTCAAGGTAGGGAACTGTCTTGAGGAAGGAGACATCTGCTAAATCTGATGTTGACATGAATAGTTAAAATCTTGAGCTCATTCTTTAGGTCTCATCTCTTTATTGCTGTGAAGTTCTTTTTTTATGGTGGCACACAAACTCTAGAGTAATTTTCAGGGTATTTTTTAACTCACTGGATTTTTATCTTCTGCTTTTTATTCACCAATCACTAATCACCATCACTAATGCATTTTTTTAAATTTCAGTAGGGCTTAATAGAAAGTGAAAGTATTCTTAGCTGTTACTTAGAATTAATTCCATTGAATTCATCCAAGTTTCATTAAAGTGCACTCAAAATTTTTGGTCTGATGATCTACTGCTGAATATACCTGGGTTGAATTTATACACATTTAATTGTGTGAGAAAAGAGTAAAAGGAAATGTATGTGTAA